CTATGGGGTGAAGCTATCAGACATTCAACTTATATCATCAACCGAGTTGCAACAAAAGCACTATTATCTAAGACACCGTATGAAGTATTTAAAGGAAGAAAACCAGACATCAATCATGTACGAGTATTTGGATGCATAGGGTATACTAAAATCGACGCACACAATACTAAGAAGCTAGATGATAGGTCTCGTACTCTAATCCACCTCGGGACAGAACTAGGATCCAAAGCTTACAGGATGTTTGATCCAAAAGCAAGAAGGATTATAGTCAGTAGAGATGTAGTATTTGATGAAAATAAAAACTGGAAGTGGGTCAAAGAGAATGAAGAAACAACGAAGCAACCAGGAGACTTCAAAATTGTACTCGGAGAGTTTGGAAACCAAGGTCTAGAACAGAGCCATGATAGAATAGAAGATGAAGCTGAGAACCAAGTAGAAAATGAGGGCACAGAAAATGAGCAAGATGCCATTCAGGAAGATCAAAACCCAACTATAGGAGACAACGTTGAGAACGAGATAGAGCAAATACCACAAAGAAAGTCATCAAGAATCAGTAAAACTCCAGGCTACCTGGATGATTACATACTTATTGCAGAAGAAGAAGGTGAGCGACTGCTGCTACTACTGAATGATGAACCGTGGGACTTTAAAGAAGCCATGGAAGAACAAGTGTGGAGAGATGCATGTAGAGACGAGATTGAATCCATTGTCAAGAACAAAACATGGAGTTTGGTTGATTTACCTAAAGGAGCTAAAGCAATAGGTTTGAAATGGATTTTCAAAGTCAAACGCAACGCAGATGGAAGTTTAAACAAACATAAATCTCGACTTGTGGCCAAGGGCTACATTCAGAGACATGGTGTGGATTTTGAGGAAGTCTTTGCTCCCGTTGCCCGCATTGAAACAATAAGATTCATCATATCACTAGCAGCTACAAACGGATGGCAAATTCATCACTTAGATGTCAAGACAGCGTTCCTCCACGGTGACCTAAAAGAAGATGTTTATGTTAGTCAACCTGAAGGTTTCGAGATAAAAGGCAGTGAGGGAAAGGTTTACAAACTACATAAAGCTTTGTATGGTTTGAGACAGGCTCCAAGAGCTTGGAATGAGAAACTAAATGGCGTACTTGAAGGCTTGAAGTTTGTAAGATGTTCCAAAGAACCATCTCTGTATCAGAAGAAA